TGCTTCTGCATACATACAAGAAAAAGCTCGCAATGAATTCCAAACATTCAGATTATTTTATAGAACGATACACCAGAAAAAAATAACCTGATATGTATAACATTGTAGAATTTGAAACTTTATTTTACATCTTCATACAGTATATTGGGATAAAAATCTGAATCAAAGCGAACAACATTCGGATTACGGCAACGAAATTTCTACACGTATCATTCGAACAGATGATGAGAATCTGGAAATACAAAAGAATACACGAGAATCAAATGTTACGTATTTTCGAAGAAGGTGGAAGTATGAAACATTTTGCGATAAACGCACAATGAAGAATCAAAATAAGCCGAATGAAGATAGTGAATTCTTCGAAACGGAGAACATAGATAAGACTCTGAGCATGGCCATAGAAATCCTAGAATACGACAGACTCTATAGTCATTCCGTAATTTTGCTCCCTATCACCATGAAATATTCGTCATTCGGTGCGACCAAAAATTCGGAAATTAACAAAACAACGCTAGCGAAAAGTAAGTGGAAACATGAGGACGTAGACGGACGGTGCGGGATGCACAGATCTCTTGCCAGTGAAATATTCACAAGGTGCGCCAAAAAAATAGCAGCCCTCACTGATGTGATGGAATGACCAGGTCGTGAAATCACTGAATTTTTAGGATGCATATAATAAGCTCAGCCGAATGACTGACTATTTGTCAGTTGATATTAAGTCACTGTTGATAAATGGTATTAAGTCATTTGCCTGAACGACGAAATGAGGTATCAATTAGCCCATTCCTAACAAGCTCCAGTCAAATGGCAAGTATGCCCGGATCCATACTCAAATTTCGAGCGACTAAACCTCGAATGGTTAAGGAAAGTGAAAAGATGTTTGCCGAAAACAATTGATAGAATGAATGCATCGTGATAAAACAATTCAAATTTGACATTCAGAGATTAGAACGTTGCCAAAACAATCGCACAACAATGCGAGATAAAAATGGACCTGAACGAGTGGAAGAAAAGCTAACCGAATGAGTAGTACCAAGCGCATCGTTAGAGACTCTCCAGAAGGATGAATTACAGAAGTTGAGATGGCGAATGCATTGGTCCATCTGGTGCAGTCCAAACGGTTCGCTGGCAATTCGGCTGAGCAACGACAAAACCAGCAACGACACCAACAACAACAATAACAGCAAGAGTTTGAGCTTTAGCATGAAAACATGAGAGCCGCGCCTCCGAGCTCAAGCTACGAAAGAAAATTCAGCGGCTGAATCGAAACGCTCATAAATTCTCAGTCTAATTGTCATCAAATGCAACCACTGTGCTAGTTTTTGGTCATTCGATGCCACATGCACACCGGAAGACTATTTTTGCGAACCATTTGATACCAATGGGCACAACCCGTACCCGTACACATCGGACCAACAACACAATGTCCCACCGGAAACGGCCCCTTCAGTAAATCCTCTGGATTCGTATCGTACATCTGAAACTGCATGAACTAAGAATGGCTCAAGTCTTCTTAGCAATCACTGAAATGTGATATCGATACGTTTCAATTAAAGTCACCCCAATTGGGTTTGTATCAGTTATGAAGACATTTNCTCTGGATTCGTATCGTACATCTGAAACTGCATGAACTAAGAATGGCTCAAGTCTTCTTGGCAATCACTGAAATGTAATATCGATACGTTTCAATTAAAGTCAACCCAATGGTTTGTATCAGTTATGAAGACATTTTCAAACGTCTGAAATCGAACGTCCAAGTGAATGTCAAAGACGATATAAGAATCGCCCACCAAGATTTGAACCGAACGTTGTTACCAGCAAAACTCAGGAAAATCGCTAAAATTCCGAATGAAATGAAATGAATGAATGAGGAGATGATATGGGCTGAAGAACGTACTTCGATAACAATGTGACATCTGTCAAGCATTCGAGGAGATACGTGGAAGAGGAAGGATTCCGAGAAAATCGCATCATTACTCTTATTCGACGCACTACTCACAGACGATGAGGAGGTTGACGAATTTGAATACGGCGCTTTGGGACGTGCCGATCTAAAATTTGACAGAATTAGCGATTCAGTAGAAAAAACGTTAATTCAAATTTAGGAATCTGTGCATTATTCATGCTGGCACGAAAAAATGTGAGCATCTTTTGAACGAATACACTTGATGTTGGTTTATGTGAACAGTCAATGAGGTGAAGTACTGCCGAGCAGACTAACCCCGTTGAAACGCATCCATTACAGGCGGTTGCCGGTGTAATGGTGGTTTGTTTCTGCTCCAATAGACGACGTCCTTCGAACAGCATCACTCTCGCAAATGGATCTAGACAAACGCTCGGATAATAATCTTTTCAAATCATTCATTTGAAGAAAATCAGTGAATGGTATCGTTGTTAAATTATCAGTACCATTTCATATTTCCTCAGGAGTACGATCGCAGAATGTGAATTGAGATTTCCTCTTACAATTAGATGAAAGTGTTTAGTAGTGCACGCAAGAAAGCAAGGAACTTCCAAAGCGTTGTAAAACGTATGAAACATGAACGAAAAACACAAAAACATACGGTGATTATAGGGAAGGCCTTTAGCTTTTTTAACGGTTGCAGTAACAAACTGCACTTGTGGTGCATAAGTGAGTATGGTGAGCACCTCGGCATCACAAGCTGTTGCCTGAAATAATTTCAAAATAATTTTAGAACATCAATAGTAAAGGACCACGATGAAGCTGACTGTGAACTTAAAGAGAAAAGGAACTGAAGCAGTGCAAAATCAATGAGATAAGAGCATCGTTTCAAGGTGAATTCAACGAAGCGGCAATGATCATTTTCTGCATTCACTATTTCAACTTAATAGCGTAAGAGTCGTTTTATGAGATTTCAATGATCTCGTACGATCAACCAAGATATTTTCAACAAACACTACGTCATAATCACAAAGAACTTCAAAGAGATCCAAGAAACAGCTAACCGGATTGCTTGGCTCCGGAAAGGCAAGCGATAAGTCCAAATCGTCGCTTTTTTCGGCTCTAGACAAGCGTTCCGGCAGGGTTTCAGGTTCAGTCTGAAGTATGCGATCTTCGAAATCACACTCGAATATTGTTCGTTTGCCTGTCGCATCGTCGTTGGCCAAGAATTTCGTCCATGCATCCTTATGCGGTGCAATCTTTTCAGGCTTCAATTCTGCAATAACCCTCTGTTGTTACCATCCGATGATCGCTCGCGCGACTCCTTCAGCAAATCAACGAAAAAAGTGCGGCGCAATTAATGAAGCATTTCAGTGACTTTCAGTCACAATGCCTCAATCGTGTGACGGATATTTTACGGAATCAATGCGCCCATCAATAACGAACACCAACAAGTAATATGTGTTGTGCTTATGGCTGCTGCTCATCGAAGTCGATGTTTTCTTTACTACAAGTTAGTTATCATTTCCGATTAGTGGTCAATTCACTGAAACTGCTGTTGATTGAAGAGATTGCTCTTGAAAACTTCACTCTTAGTTTTTCAGGAGTATTTGGAGCTTGAGACGGTGGCGAACTCAAGTATATCATAAAACAGTGGTGGCTTCGAACTTGTACATTCATTTAATTTTGTCATTCCATCGCCGACACACTCATTCATCTTTTTAGTTACGTCCCTTCAAATTAGTATCAAAAAAGTCAGTATGACCACTCAACATTTGTGTTTAAAGTGTGAAGAGTAGTGGTTGATTTTCGATGCCTTGTGCATAACATTTATATA